ATTATAGCTGTCTGTAAAAGGTGTAAGGCAAATTTGGCTACGCTCAGCAAAAGAGAACCAGATCTCGTTGACAACGATGGAGATAATTCTGATGATGTAAATGAACTGGACGATGATGACGATGAAAGTGACGAAGATCAAGAAGTTATTATCGCTGCTAAGCATCTAGTCCTAGAGAGAAAGGTAAGGAAATAATTAAGTCTTGCGCAGTAAGGTTACGACAATGAGGCCCCTTAACGTGAGAATTTCGGAATATAAATCTGAAATTCTATTTCATGCATACCCATAATTGAGCCTTTTCGTTATTCGTAGGTCGAGGAAGAGTGCAGCTTTGTAGTGAGTGACCTAACACGTTCGCTCTGTGCTCTCACAACAGTTGATAATACCGTTGATTCTGTCCACCTTACAGCCAACACAGGGTCGTCGTCTGAAGAGGCGGTCTGTGATTCACGTATAGCGCGTCGTCGTAAGTTGAATGCCTTCCTCGAAGAATGTAACGTAATGCCGCTAAACCAAAAGCCCATGCTTCCATTGGAAGAGGCTAGTGAATGAACAAGAGAGCGTTATGTCGCACGCCCATCCGAGATTATAACTGCAGTCTTAAATACTGTCTGAGGAAATCGCTGAATGTTTGTGGAATGCTCTACAAAGTTCGCGTTCGATACCTGCTGCGTTAGGAATCGACACGACAACACATCCCTCGGAAAACACCTACCTAGAGGCTTTGGTGGAGGCTTATGAAAACATGTCTGGATGGGATACTAAGCGTCAGATATTATCAGTGATGTCAGGGGTTGCCTCGTTCACCGCGATAAAGAAATTCATCCCTGAACTGAGCAGGTACATTTTTCACCGTTACTCTTTCAGTATCACTTTCTCCTTCATCTCTTCTACCTTTCCTCCTGTAATGATCCCAAGAGCAATAAAGTATCCAAACAAACAGATTTAACTCGACTAGTTTTATTGCAAACGGAACATGGCCGCCGCTATCAAAAGCACATGGCTTTTCTATCCCAGCATACTTAGCGGCCTAATACATTACACCTCCTACCTTCGGTTACCTTTTTATCTTTTGCTCTCTGTAATCAACATGATTTCTTTCTCCGTGAGAAAGTTTCCTTTTCCAATCCTTCCTTTT